AGACCGTCCTTATATATATGTACGATTGCACAAAGACTATGTAAACGTTGATACAAATGCTGGTACAATAAAGAGTGGGAAATTTGTTCTCAGCTTATGCACAGTTCTAATGCAAATTTAAATTTGTAAAATGTCTCTTTTATAATAATTTTTTATGGATTAGTATGTAACTGATGTTAATTTTTACAGGCCGGACGTTAACCTGCGATTGTATTTCAACTCTCTTTTGTACATTATATTGTGTTACTAAAGATTGACAACAAAAAATAGTACGTAGAACCTACACTTCATCAGGTATATTTATATACATACATACATACATACACACATACATACACACATACATACATACATACATACATATATATATATATGTATATATGTATATATATATAAATACATATATACATATATAAAATAAAATACTGAAATTGTTGTTTTTTATGTAGTATACTATCCCCCTTAAGTATAAATAAATTATATTGATTATGATAAAGAATACATAATATTATGTTCAAGGTTACAGTTTCTTAGGCTAAATGGAACGAAGTTCTTTTATTATATTGATTCAATATAGGATTTATAGTTGATAATAGCCAAGTTTCTAAACTGTAAGTATATTTGGTAAATCTGGGCTATTTTACCGCTAACTTACAAGTAGCTTTCTGTAATTTTTATGTAGGCCTATGGGATGAACTTGCACGTCTTTATTTTACATAATGCACAATGAGTTAGACATGTATAAGCTTGTTCTCGTGAGCCGAATATCATGCAATCGAGGGCAGGACAGGTCCTCTGTAGACCGCCAGTTGAGAACTCCTGTTTTAAAATAACAAGTGATCTTAATTGAATTCTCTATGATAGTTAGGACATGGTACGCCCTGTTGGGTGAAGAAATTGAAATATTTCTTATGCAGACTGTGTAGCTGTTCTATGGTGTTACAAATGTAGGCACAATTAAAACCAGATGAAATTATTTACCAATCTAAGAATATGAAAATGTTGTTTTCCTGTAAACTAACACTACCACTCTACCTCTACCGTACCATTACCACGTATACACACTAACATTACCACCACCCGCAATCCTACTACTCAAGTATATCATACTACTACCACTGCCTTGTCCATCCCTACCACCCTACAACTACCACTGATACTACCTCTACCATACCACCATAATATTTTATTTCTACCACACTACCACCACCACTGACACTACCAATAATACACACTCTACAGTCTGTACCAGTATCCTGAGTTGATCGCTGCTCTTCATTTAATACTATAGAGTATTTAATTTTACTAATAAACGTCACGCTATCATCACTAACACGGGTATGTCAGTTTGTCAGACTCAAACAAGCAAATTACGCTACTCAGAGAAATGTTGACGTGTTTGTGTGGACCACAACGCATTAGCCATTTAACACACAATTCTGAAGTGTGAGGTAAATTGAAGTAGAATATTAACGGTCCCTGTTCTTAATATACAAGATACTTCATTTTCCAATAAGCCTAATTCAACTACCAATCGCCACCGTATAACGCAGTAAGGAGTACAATAATTAACGACATTCACTGACTACTTTTGACGTTTGAACAAAAGTGCATTATAGGAATTCTTTATTAAGAAAAAACGCTAGAGCTATAATTACTATGGTTATCATTATGGTTACTATGGTGCAACATAATAAACACGCATTAATTCAAATAATAATGTCAGCTAAGAAGATGAAACAATGTTACATTAGTTTTATTGCTTTTATTGACAATAATTTGATAACGTATGGTATTGTTATAATTAATCTGTGTGTGAACCGTGGGCGCAGATCATGAGGGACTGAGGACACGTCCCCTTCACCCCCACATATTTTAAAAGGGTTGGTCCCCATTTTTCGGCGGCAATGTCATTTCATAATTCAAGAAGATGCCTGAAAATTGTTGAAATGAACTGAATAAATGACCCAGGTTTTTTAATGAAAGAGCCCTGTACAACCAGAATACATCTTATAGCACAATCCGGTATCTCTGCCCACAAATATCTGAATTACGGTACCTATATACGACTCGAGTGCGTGTACCTTTATTATCATTTGAGAAGTATGAGAAAAAAAAGCGTCGTTTTCGGCACATAAAGTAAGTAAAATAAAGTAAATACATCAAAGCCTATGAAGTTTTATTTTCTATGATACATCACAGAGATTAATTAGATTTCTATGACCATATGGTCTGTAAAAAAAGGCAATGTTTTAAAATTTTATTCAGATTATTTAGATCTCTGATTGCCGAAAACCGCTGATAAAAGATCATGATAAATTAGTTTGCGCTTCATTGTGACTATAATGGTGATGTGATGATGATGAATTTTCTATATAAAAGTGCCATTTCCAGCCATGAGTGGTACAATTTAACCAAACAGGGTGGGGCTGAGATGGGTGGACTCACGGCTTTAAGTAGGTAATGTAAATACAGAAAAGACAATGTTTTAAAGTTTTATTTTCTATGTTTACATCACACAGTTTATTTAAATCTCTATGACTGCCGAAAATTCTTGATAAAAGATCATGGGAAATTCTTTGGCGGTTTATTTTGACTATAATAGTGATGTGATGATAATGAATTTTACTATAAGCATGTTTTTTCCGTCCATCTAGAGGTTCTATTTTCTCAAATTTATTTTGCACTCAGCCTCGATCATGGTGGGGCTGAGGTCAATCTGGACTCACGGTTTGAAGTAGGTAAGTAAAGTAAGTACATTAAAGACAATGTTTTAAAGTTAATTTACTACCATCACACATTTTATTGTTAATTAGATCTCTGTGGTTGCCGAAAATCGCTGATAAAAGATAATGAGAAATTAGTTGGCGCTTCATTTTGACTATAAGATTGAGGATTTTACTATATAAGAGTGTCATTTCCATAGATAAAGTACTATTTCCTCAAATTTTCGCACCTCAGCCAAAACCATGGTAGGGGCTGAGGTGGGTGTGAGCTTACGGAATTCCCCTCCCACACCTTACCCCATAAAATATCATCAGCCTAAGATTGGTTGGTGCAGTGGTTGGTTTTTCGGTTTCTTTATCTAAGTCGACGGTTCGAATTTGGTGTCCTTGGGCAAGGCAATTTACTTTCCTGTCTATCCACACATGAGTTGACGTACCTGGTAGAAAGTTTTAGTTTGTCTGTTACTGCATTAAATTGGCAACCCCTTCCACCGAGCTGGTGGAAGGGGTTGTACCTTTTGACGGGCTGCCAATTAATGGATCCAATGACCAGGGGTAGTAATAAAAATAAGTAGTGCCTTTCACTTGGCAAAACGCGCGATATAATTTCCTATAGGCTTATTAAAATTAATTATTACAATATGCTTGTTCAATCCAAGATCAATATGAAAAATAGGAAAATCTACTTTTCTTAAAGGGTGCCCTCATAATTTGCATAGTATAATATTATAGTTATACTTTCACAATGGCTCTCATCGCCTTCATATTACTCGAAATTATGACGTGGTTCTAGGCTTAAAAGTTGTGTGATAAAATATTGATGCAGTACGAATCCTCATTCATATTCTAACCAGTGTATAATATCGGCCTATCCTATTACGTAAGATCAGAGAAACCGTGTACTTTATGTATTTGGATTTCAAATACAGTGAATTATCATTGTATTGTCAATACTGTACAGTTACTAGATCATGGTGGCGTTCATGATCTAGTAACAGTTTACTTAGATGAGGTGCGCCCGTTGTAATCTGTCTTAAGTTGAACCAGAATTTCCAGTACGCTTTTATATTATAAATCAAATAATTCTGTTCTGCTAGTGTGTTCCTGATTTTTTTTTCACTTTGGTTTTAGTTGCTTTTAACATTAGGATTCATTAGTTAGATTTCGGGTGAAAGCCTATTGTTTTATTATTATGTATTTATCTCTAAGATATGTTTATAGGACGCTTTATAGATCGTATCATAGGCGTTAGTGTTAGCATTCTCGCTTCTGGAAATAAGCAGCACTTTGTGCGTACAACATAAACAATGAAACGCAAATATTTCAAATAGTATCTCTTTATTTCATTACAGCAAAAAGATAACACAAATTAACACAATGAAACGTACGCAAAGAATCGAAGAATCTCGTAACAAAGTGTACTCTCCGTTATAGAAAATCTTTGAAGAATCCAAACTCTCGCCACAACGAATGCTGACTTTAATTAATATAACATTAGCCATATTAATTTTATTAGTCTGTTCAAAAAAGTATATTTTTCTGAAATTTTTTATCGTAAATCTCAAATTTGGCATAATACTTACTAATGTGATCCTCATCTTCTACATTTTATATGTTTAGTCAATGTATAATGTTTCTAAGTATATACTTTAATTTAGTTATACCTGGTCCATAATCATTAAATATATTAAAAGTTGTTATTGTAATTATCATTACTTTATTAATTATTATCCTAACTATTCTCATGCATATTTAAAATAAATACTCTTTGTTTAAAATGGCATAAACAATGACATTTTTATTAATTATTATCACTACATTTGTAATTGTTATACTCCCTGTTTTATCAATCTTGTATTTCAAAACATTACACAGTAACGCATAACACTTTAAATAAATGTTGTAAAATAATATTCATTGGAGGCGATTTATTGTCAAAACAATATACAAAACAATACCGTTAAATTTCTAATAGAAGCCATGGGCGTCTTTTTTCAGCACCCTTTGATGGGCTTCTTTTCGAGATTACTTTTGTAAACTAAAGAGGGGGGAGGGGCTTCTTTTCAAAATGAACGCTGTAAATATTTTGAATTTACAACTTTGGAATTCGAAATTCTGTTTTTAAATTTTAACCATGCTTGTAATATAATATCAATAATATTGATACTCACACGCTATCAAAATCATCATCATAATCAAAGATAACGTCTGAATTATAAGTAATATCTAAAAGAAAGCCCATACTATCTTGACTAGAAGCCCATTGGCTCCTTTTCGAGATTACTATTGCAAACTAAAAAGAGGGGATTCTTCTCGAGATTAAGCCCACGGGCGTCTATTTGCGGTTTTATGGTATATCATTGAATTATAAATGATAAGCACATTCAAATGATGTCAGTAAATGCATAATAATGAAATACGAATAGCCTATTTCGAGCACTGACGTATCCGGGTTTTTTCCCTGTAGTTCTGTATACAACTGTCAATGGTTAAATAAATAATTCAAAATACAAGTATGCGACAATTAAATCATATGCAACAGAAACACTGTCATATTAATACATTATTTGAGATATTGTTCGACGTGTATGAAATGAGATGTTAATTATTTAATCGACAGAGATAAATTTCAAATTAAGAGGAGAGAGTATTTACAATTGCCATGATAATTATGATACAATTTAAGTAGTGTATTTAATGGATCTAATATTGAAATCGTTTTCTCTGCCAATACGTATTATTTTGTTGAAATTGTGCTCTATCATAGCCATCATGCGACTCTCATCATACAAGACTTAGACTGTTTTCGCTTACTATTTATTTGAAATTTAAGGTCGTGACAGCTTTAAGAAATACAGCATTTTAGAAAGATATAACGAATAAATATTTATCAAATTATCATAAAAACAGTTTTTATTATTAATACATATCGTAACTTGTTCTAAATCAAGACAATTTGGTATATAAACCTTTTAAATTACATGAAAATTTCAATTTTTATTACATAAATTATGACTATCAATTCTCTATTTATATATCAAATCTAACATTACAAACAGTAGTTTTCCTATAAAATATGTGCTAATCCTGCAATACGAAAAAATATTCCCTTTATCAATCAAATTTATATCAATGGTCATATATCTTTAGTATTATTATTTCGTATCAAATATTTTAAGGTGTGTATAGATAGACTATCAAAACCCGAAATAGATAGAATTAACTAGCTTCTAAATTGAAAGCTTTGTCATTTAATAGTGACCGAAAATACAAATTGGACTAGAAAATGGGTGTCGACAAGAACCGTAAAAATGGTCTGTGGTGAAATCTAAAAACTCTAAAAAATGAATTACTCTGTATTTAAGAAAGAAATAAGTTATCATCTTACAATACAACACAGATTGACAACCCAGTTTTTACTGAATTACTTACGTTGTAATAAAAAAAAGTCATTACAAAGTAAGCAAGAAAAATAGTAAATTCTACTTTACATGTCTAGGTCAACACAAACGGTGAATATTTGACAAAATATAGCAAATTGATGACTTTTTACAGCTTAAGGGAACATGAAATGTGATGGAAAACTGTGAGGTTAAAAATAAAAGTGTAGCTATCCAGGAAGAGACTTTCGGGCGGGAGCTGTAGGAGTGCGGGTTAAGGGATGAGCTGCTGTGTAGTTTTTCCTGTCATAAATTTGCATTCATAGGATAAGTTCTATACGGTGGACACATCTCTTGATGAATGCTAAAAACAAAAGAAAAATAAATAAGAAAAGTAGAATGGGTACGGAATAAATATCAGTAACAACACTGGAAAGGAACTGAATTTGTAATTGGAACATGCACAGCCTACCGCTGAATGACCTTTTCATATTGGTTTTAGAGAATTGAACGAATAGTATCAGTAACATAATGCTACAGGGGATGATGTCAAACACTAATTTCTGTTGTAAAAAATGTAATAGGCCTAGTGAAAATACATTAGTGAAATGTTAAAGAAATACAGAATGAAAATAATTATACACAAGGAATAACATAGAAAGAAGATGAGAGCGGATGAAAAAAAGTCAAGACAAGTGATACATTACTGTTATTTGGAGAAAAGAATTTAAAGAAAACCTCAGAAAGTACGGTCGTAGTTTTTGTTGCATCGTTTTCTATGAGGCATGCTTACAGAGAGAAGTTCCATTGGACTTAGGTCGTCACAAATATACCATATTCTTCCTGTCTCTTATACACATCTAGATGTGTATAAGAGACAGCCTATATATAAATACGAAGCTTAACTTAGTAGTGAAGTAAATACCATTTATTAAGCTAGTCAGGAGTGCTACATTGATTTATTTTTTTTCTTATATATTAGAATTTTCTCAATATATTAGGCCTATATTTGTATTACATTCTGAGGTTTTGCACATATTTGCTATTTTCTCATTGTTCTTTGCACTATCTTAAATTTGAGTTTATAAGAGATAAATTCTTTTTTAATGTTAAATATTTTCGAAACTTCCCGCATTAATTATATAAATATCATTACTATTATTATCGTTATTACTTAAAATATTATTTCGTACCGTATCTAATATCATTATGTATGATTTCACGGTAACTTACCTTAGCATATTCCGTTCATGTTTTGTTCTATGAATGAAGGAAAATCAGATACTTGAGACACAAATAATAAATAAATAATAATGCTTATTATTTAGTAGTTATTAATAACAGAAGCCTCTTTATGCTATTTATTGGAACATTTATCAGCTTCAATTATCCACACATGTCAATCATATTTGCTTTTGTCATCCCTTGTATATTTCCTGGTACTAATCCATTATAGAGCTTAGAACGAGCACTATATTTTGCTCTAAGCGTTTTGGTTTCTGATTCTTTAATACAATCACTTATTATTATCCGTTCTAATTTTATTATTTGTATTAAGACGTACGGAGGCAGCATCCAGAGGTTAACGTTAAATGTTATTTAATCCAATAACCAGGGTAATGGTAATGTAATAATAATAACGCATAGAGGGCTTAACAATATGCACCAAATAAGTCTATCATTCTTCTTCTTCTTCTTCTTCTTCTTCTTCTTCTTCTTATCATTATTATTATTATTATTATTATTATTATTCAGCAAGAGCATTTGCTGACAGTCGGTGCCAACCTCATCACTGATGAAGCTTTTAATTTATTGTTCAATAATTGTGGTCAAAATAGTTCATGTAAATGATTCGAAGTAATTGTGCTTATGTGAAATGTATCGATACATTTTAACCACGACAATTTTGAAAACAGCCATAACCAAGGTAACAGTTTTGTCAAATATACTTGTTTTAAAATATGTTTCGTACTTACTGAAGTCTGTTCCTTTTTTGTAATCTTCTGAAATAAAAAAAATAAATAAAAAATAAGAAATAGTGATCGAAGAACCTTCTGATACTGAGTCGAAAACTCTATGTGTTGTCCAAGTCCGACCAATTCAAATTCTCAAAAATCTAAAAACATATTCTCGACCAACTGAGCTTGATTTCTTTATGCAGCAATAAATGCTACTCTCCCTTCTATATTTCATGTCAAGATTTAAAAATTCCGACCTTGATTCTTATTACAGAAAAGTTGTACCTGTCTTCCTCATTCTCAAATCAAACTAAGGATGTTTCAATGTTATCAAACGTATTGATAATTCTATGAAACGTATGAATATTCTTTATGATCTAAACTTTACAATGAACTTATACCCCTTAAATTACTCAGCACCCTCTATAAAAATTGACAGAGCAATTAAGGGCAAAAAAACGTTATTGCCTCATATGGCCTAATCGTAATAAAATCCTCACTTGTATCCAACAGACGTAGCACCAGAAACGACTGCTGCAGCAAAAACGATGCCGATAAACGCTGCAATGATGTGTGTTGTCTGAATACCTGTCGCATTGTTTTCTGTATTGCCTGATACAGGACACTTCCTCTTACTCTCTGGTATAAGCGTATTACATAAACGTCCTGTCCATTCACATTCACAAAGGCACTTGTTAGTTTTTTTGTCACATTTCTATAGAATGTATAAACGAAATGCACCAGTATTACTAACTATTTATAATGCCATCTGCTGTTAAGAGGTATGGAGAGAGGGGATAATGGAAGCTGGGGTTGGATGACACGATATTGAGGGGCTACTTTAGCCCTGCACTCAGCATCACACCAATTTTGACTACAGTACTTGAATGCAAACTTCCATGGAAAGGACTCCTAAAGGAGTTGGAACAAACTTTTCTGAGGTGTGTTTCCCTCTCGCGATGTTCATTTAACTCGAGTGGAAGCGATCAATATTAGAGTATGATGTGGAATTAAACATTCTAGGTCCGTATGATATTTTTCATTTGTGTTGATCCAGCAAAAAACAATAGTACTCACACTTCGTTTCGTAGTGTAAGTACTATTGTTTTTTGCTGGATCAACACAAATGAAAAATTTCATACAAATTATATTTGGATCAAAGTGAATTTATTTCAAGACATTCTAGGTCTGTTTACTTACCCCATTGTTTGAGCAAATTGTTCCTTCATTGTCATTACATAGCAATCTACCCTGAGTGTCACATTTTCCAGAAACACATATACCATTGACTTGACAAACCATACCATCGGTTGGGGGAAGACCATCGGTTACTGCACTTCCTACAGCGTACAAATTGCTACAGAAATGATATGTGAACTCGAGTAACAATACCTTAGTAGTTAAAATGCAAAATTTCCTGGCTAGTGAGACTTTGAAAAACGTAAGAATTTGTTCTGGCGATTAACCCACTTGAATAACCAAAATATTTAAATTGAATATTTCATAGAACTTTTTCATCAAGTAGGCCTTTACAATTTGAGGTTAAATAATATAGACCTGCCGTCCAGAAAACCAATTGTAGGACATAAAAAGCCATCTTTAGGCCCACATAACATATTTATATTGATTTTAGTCGTTCGTATATTAAGGTATAAGAATGTAAGCCTGAGTCATAGTAATTCATACAATCGTTGTGATTAGCCTTTCTATTAGCCGTTCATGTTTAACTTTACATATTCATAAATAGAAAATATCTTATAAATACAATTTACATTGACTGAAACTAGAAGTCAGTCTACCACCACTGTGCGGCTGTTAATGAAAACTTCAACATCCAAACCATTATGTTAGACTTGCTAAGGAAGCGCAATGCTTTATAGGGAACGGAATTGGGGTCAATTAACTGTAACCAACTTTTGCAGTTTTTTAAAAACTTTAACTTACCTGCACGTTGGAGATCCCGAAATTGAAACATTTGCTATTTTGAGTGACTGGGCAACTGGAAGGGCGACCTCATCAGCCACACAGAGCACGATATCACATTCAGTAAGTCTAAAAGAAAAAAAAAACTAAATTATTATCTGAATCTTCATCAATAATATTGAATATTTAAATCATATCAGAAAAATGTTTGAAGGTTGATTAACACAAATCTGAAAATTAGTAAAGTGGTAAGAAATTAAGAGAAACAGAACGTCAATAATATATGAATAACAATAAAATAGCACGAAGAGATTGCTAGATAAAGTGTTGGTGAGCAATAGGTTTGTCCTCTGGTACTTAATGTAATCATAAGTCGAAGCGCCACTATAACAACAGCAGCATGGGAACGCATGTAGGCATTGGTTTTAGAGAATTGAACGAATAGTATCAGTAACATAATGCTACAGGGGATGATGTCAAACACTAATTTCTGTTGGATAAAAAAATGTAATAGGCCTAGTGAAAATACATTAGTGAAATGTTAAAGAAATACAGAATGAAAATAATTATACACAAGGAATAACATAGAAAGAAGATGAGAGCGGATGAAAAAAAAGTCAAGACAAGTGATACATTACTGTTATTTGGATGATTATGGAAAATGAACGATGAGAAAAGAATTTAAAGAAAACCTCAGAAAGTACGGTCGTAGTTTTTGTTGCATCTTTTTATATGAGGCATGCTTACAAAGAGAAGTTCCATTGGACTTAGGTCGTCACAAATATACCATATTCTTCTAATGGTTCTTGTACTTGCTTTGTTTATTTTCTTTGATCTGTGCTTGTTATGGATATATTAAATAATATTAAAATCGAATCCTAATCAAATTAAAGATATTGGTTATTTGTTTTCACCCCCAACAAGGGCCTGAAAGTCACCTCTAGGTAAGGAGTTACTAATAGCGGCTTATTAATGTTCGTCTTTGTAAACCATCAAATGTTTCTATCTGAACTGAAACAGATTGTGTGAACAAATTCAGAACCCACCAACGCCGATAGCCAATGCAAGCCTAGGTATCTCGGTCAACGTATACTACGAACTTCCGACAAGAAGAAGAAACAGATGGAAACAGATGTGTCAAATATGACCATAGAAAAAATTGATAAATCTAAAATAATATTCTGAATGACAGACAAACGCAGAAGTTTTATAAATTGTGGAAAACGACAGGTGATTACTGGTACAGAGGTGAAGGTAACAAGGTTTGAATTGTCTCTTATACACAATTTTTTCTATTGATAAGGCGTTATTTATGTCTTGTCTTAGGGCTAAGCACTTAGTTGCCGTAGTAACACTGAATTTAACAGCACAATGCATTGGCGTTTTTTATTCTGCATTTTACACTATGGACCCTGAAAGTGCATTGCCTTAGGCACGACATGCAATTAGTTATATCTAACACATTATTTCCAAATTGTAATATCTGTACGTATTTGGCATCATACAGTATATAAACATATGTTTTGCTAAAAAACATGTAACAGCGATTCCAAATACATTATATAATGATACCTTTTCCATGATGTATTTATACAGGGCTATACTAGGCTATACTCGATTAGAAAATCCATAATTTTGACCAAAGGCATTAATTTGGTACAAAAGGCAGTACTCGCATAAGGATTTGCATGATGAAGTGTTTGTGCACGAAGAGAAGTACTGATGTCATAGGCACATTATAATTTATTATGTAAATTATAAAATTGCCACATATTTTAGCATATAAATCAACTATTTCATCGAAGTATAATGTTCAATTCTACATTATTATATTTCATAATTCCAATAGGCCTAATCCTCGATATTACAAGAATAAATGTTTGAGTGGGCACCCCAGCAAACACAAAACATTATTAAAACTTTCGCGTTAAATATGTCAGAGAGTATTTACACAACGTTGCATTGCAGCGAATTTTAAATGGAATTCACGTTATAAATAAATATTTATGGTTCTACTAAAAAACTGTAGCGATATTATAAGGTGAAATTATTTGCTATGATGTAGAATGTCTAGTAATTATCACGTGGTGACCAGCATATAAATAAGCCACGGAACCCATACATCGGCTGTTTGTTTTTCATGTAAAAAAAAAAGTCTTAGCAAAATGCATAAACTCTAGTTTAAGTTTAGGTTAGTTTCGTTCACAACGACGTTTGCACTAACCAGGCGAACACAGCAATACATTTACTCAATAACATACCGGTATTCCAGTTAAATACTTACAATATAGAACAATTTGGAGTTATTCCACAAAAGGCACTAGAGGCATCAGCTTGAAGTTCGTCGAGACATTCAGTTGAAGCTGCTATAGCTTCTATAATTCATAATGCAAAATAAGGATAGAAAAGAACACAAACAAAACAGGAAAGTGAGATTTTACGAAATAATTTGTTTCTAAATCACAATGGTATGCTATTGTATTTGTGTCTCTCCAACCCACAATTAGATTTATTATGTAAAATTGTTCTTCTTTTAACCGAATTAATGGAATTATTAAAAAATCATAAGGTTCTCAAAACTATTATAATAGGATATAACAGTAATGTGTTATTATTATATATATATGATATAATATCGAGTATTTTTTATACTTTATTATTTTTGTTTCAAAGTTCATTGACCTAATTAGGATTTTAATATATGTTGTTAACGATTGAATCAATGCATTTTTACTAGGTGAAAATTATGCTATTTTGAAATTATTAAATAAAGTTATACCAACTCAATGGGTTGAGAATTGGAATGCGTTTTAACGCTAATTGATGAAATATTTTTGTTCCAATATTTTGTTGAAAGCAATTTAGTTCGAAGTTTATTTCTAAAAATCTGTCTGCGATTAGTTAAAAAAATTAGGTATTTCAAAATAATATTAATTAGTATGTTAAGAACAATCACTTCAGATCCAGACACTGAACTTCGATGTCATATACTGGTAAAAATACCGCATTACATAATTTGTATCCAAGTTGTCGTTCTAAAAGCTAACTACAGTACTTATTGAAATAGGCCTATAGGCTAAAAGTAAGCCATTAAATTTTTCGAAGTTTATTACTTTTTAAATAGTCTGTGATAAACTAAAAACTTTAAAAAATTATATTAAGTATTTCAATAGCTTACTTTAAGCTTTTAACTGAACATTGTCAAAAAACAAAATCATCGCTAATTTTACGGACACACCAGACGCATAAATGATTCCTTTGCATAGCATTCTATAGCTTGTAATTAATTACAAAAAGGTTTGAAAATCAGTGATAACATTGTTATATCTGTTTATCAATTAGATATTTAAGCTATTTATTGTTTGAAATAAATTTGAGGTTTTTGACAAATTTATAATGAAATATAACTTTAGATACAAAATTGGTAAAAGGCATTATTGGATGGCATTATTGCTTTCCTGATAAAAATCTAAGTTAACTGCTAAAGATAAATACAAATGAGTTGTAACTAACGACACCCAGATCAATTAGATTGTCGCTGGTATGTACTTTACTCCTAACTGGTACGGTATATGTTAGAACAGTCGCACCCTATCCAGACACTGAACTTCAAGTACATAATTAAATTGGTAAAATAAATTACTTTAGGTTTGTATCAAAATTAACAATTTAAATACAGTACGACCAGCATCTATCTAAAGTATTTAAAAAAATGGAAGGTAAGAAAATTGATTTACCTTTTCCAATAACATTTTTACAAACGCAATCCCACGAATTACATCCACGCTGAAACCAAGTTAACATGTAACATAATTAATCAACCCACACTTCATGAGATTGTTTATTCCAACAAAACGTGCCTGGGTATTTGTTAGGGTTCCGGCGCGTTGCCCCCCGGGCCCGTTGCCACCCGGCCCGTAGCCACCCGGCATTTTGTCACCCGGCCCGTTGCTACCCGGCCTTTTGCCACCCTAAGCCCGTTGCCACCCAGGCCTTTTGCCACCCGGCCTTTTGCCACCCGGACTGTTGCCACCCGGCCCGTTGCCACCCTAGGCCCGTTGCCACCCGGCCTTTTGCCACCTTTGGGAATGTCAAATATTTATATTATTTTGGTGGGTTTTTTACACATAGGCCTATAGTTGTACTAGTAGGCCTACTGTAGCAGAATTTTTTCTTGATTAAATTTACTTTCCATTTTAATATTTAATTATTAGTTTACTGTATTTTAAAACAATCATCCATGCGCCTTCTTACCACCAGGAGAAAATTGCAGAAATAAACATTGTTATAAGTAGGCCTAAGCATAAAGAGAGAAAACTGCAGTGTCAAGTTTATTTTTATATTATTATTTTTAAGTATATTTTTATCCTGAAAAATAGGAAGAAGTTTGGCAAAAATGCTGGAAGTAAAATTTCTGCGAATACAATGCATAAGCCTACTACAACTATGGTTGGTAACGGGCCGGGTGGCAACGGGCCTACGGTGGCAACGGACCGGGTGGCAAGAGGCCTATGGTGACAACGAGCCGGGTGGCAATGGGCCTAGGTGGCAAAAGGCCGGGTGGCTAAAGGCCGGGTGGCAAAAGGTCTTAGGTGGCAAAAGGCCGGGTGGCAACGGGCCGGGTGGCAAAAGGCCGGGTGGCAACAGGCCAGGTGGCAACGGGCCTAGACCCTATTTGTTACTGCATGATATAAGATCATAGGGACCTACGTAACAGATAGGGATTCAAATTTTATACCTGCTATATCATGGAATTAAGCGTTGTAAAGCGCTCTGATTGGGGCTCTAATGAGCACCATATAGCAAAATTCTTTTTAATACCGTACTTGTGTTTTCTCATTTTATTCGACTACATTAACCACGTCGTAATATACGATAGAACTATCGAATTCAGCCGAATGTACAATTTTAAACCAAATGACTGAATTCGATAGGCAATAAACCAGTTAGTGTAAACAGGTTCGCCTCATTAAACTTCATTGAAAATTTGTAGCCCATTTTTTTTAAATTTAATAGAAAGTTACCATTATTATATCTGTGTACTCTTACGAACCTCTTTATACCATATACGAATGTACATTAATTATATACGCTTCGCTTTATATGGTGGTTCACTGTTCCCTAGTGTAAACTGTACATAAATTATGTCCAACCCCATCTAAGAATTAAATATTTCTAAAAGTGATACTTTAATTATCAATCCATATTCCCTAATGAATTTGCCTACCATTTTAATCAGAGCAGCAGCTTGCAATTTATTTCAATACTATTGGCCAGTAGCAATACGCATGTGCATAGCAAGTGTATTCCAATGCTTATTTATTCAGTGTCTGGGTTATTAAGTACATATTTTGGGCAAACGCATGACGTTGAAGAAATCATAATTTGTAGGGCTACCTGTACTTATAGTTATCCCAAAACCTTTAGCCTAATCAAGACTTAAAGAAGTGGTTTACTCATATAGCAAACCGAAGAAACACTCATAGACATGGGCGATACAGGAGACAATTTTAGTTTATATGACACTTTTGAGGAGATGTACTCCGAAAACGACAGACGCGTACAGGCGGTCATTTTGGGTTTTATCTGTATTGCAGGAATTATTGGCAACTGCCTTGTACTTTTCTCTTTTATGACGACACGTAAGCTGCATAATAACACCAACATCTTTGTAGCAAACCTCGCTCTGTCAGATCTGATTGTATGTTTGAATCTACCAATAACTATTATAGCGATTGTTTCTGACGATAAATGGCCACTGCATGAAGGTATTTGTGTTGTAAATTCAATTTTGCTGATCGTCTGCACCGGTTGCAGTCTATACACTATGGCATGTATTGCCCTGTTGCGGTATGTGTATATATCGAACTTCAAATACAAAAATGTACTGAAAATGCATACGTGCATATTTATAGTAATCTTCGCATGGCTGTTTTCAACAACTTGCACAGTTTCACCAGTACTCTTTGGATATGTCAAAATGGGTTATAATCGACAATACCATTCTTGTTCTTGGTCAACGGCTGGAAATCAGTATAGCCTTATCATAGCGGTTGTATTTTACCCAATCCCATTTATCTGTATTTTTCTTTCCTACTTTTCAATACTGCGTGTTGTGTGTAGGAAAGCAAAAAACGTTCAACCGGCGGCGAGTCAGCTTGCACGTAACATCACAAACCGCAATCTGGCGGTAACTAAAAATCTTTTTACTGTCTTTTGCGTATTTGTCATGTGTGGTTTTCCGTACAGTTTGCTGATAATACTTCCAGACACTGACAGAGTGATATCGTATGCCGCAATTTTACTGATGTGTAACTGCTTCATCAATCCAATAATTTATGCTTTTAAACACCCAGAATTCAAAAAAGTAATCCCTGGTATGATAATGTGTAAGGGAATAGTCACACCAAACAAAGACTAATATTCCAGTTACAGGATATATATCAGCATTTTCTTTGACGATGTCGCACACAAAGATTAAGTATTTCGGGAAGTGCCCTTTTTAATACATTAATACTAATAGCCATTTAGCACTGCAAACATAGGCCCGAAAATGAAGGAAATTTCATTTGGTTTACCAAATTATGTTTGTAGTGTCAGAATGGCTAAAAATATAAAACAAACAATTCATTATGTATAAACAGGTAAATAAAAACGCATTAGAGTAAGTGAGCTATTGGAAATACATTTAGAACTGTATAGCCTATATTGTGTAACATATACATTACCCAATGTTTTTGTTATATAAATTCTATCTATACTATTTTATTGTGATAAACTACCGTTACTATATCACGTTAAAGCTAATCATTTGTTTCTAATAGCCTATTATATATTATCGAGCATAATATAGGCCTAGGTCTAATGTATATTACCGTAATTGCTTTAAATATCGTATATTTTCATACTTGGTGTTTTTCTTAAATTATTTTGAGACTTCGTTTTACCTTAACATGTTTGTTATGGTTTTTTTTTTTTTTGTTTTTTTTTTTTTTTTTTTTTCCTGCCTGAGAAGTGTCTAATAAAATAAAAATAAAAATATTGGTATTAGTGCCTATATCTTTCTTTGTATAAACAATAATGTTATTGCTTTACGTTATTTACTTGAAAGCTATACTAATTAACCTGTACCACTTACAATTGATTGCATTTGTTATATCAGTATTGTCTCATGTGACATATTTCTCATTACATTAATTTGGATAGGCCCTTGAAATTCTTCACCATCTTTATCGGACTCCTATTGGCGTATTGTAATCTCTGTATGAATAAACACAATCAAATCCGGGTACAGATTGTTTATCGAAATATATTGGTTATTATAGCCTAAGGAATTATTCTGGTTAATGTAAAATGTAAACAGTAAGTAAAGTAAGCCAGTAAAATAATATACTTTCTAGTTTAACAATACATATATGAAAATACAGTATATACAATATTAGATTAACAAAAACAATACAATATATTGAATACAATAAATACAATATACATATATATATATTATATACTTCATTTGAATATATATATATATATTATATGCGCCTATATACATACATAAAGTAAACAATAAACAATTTAACAATATGTTTGATTAAACATTTTATGACTAAATAGTAACACTAAACTAAAATATAAAACATAGAACTATTTGTGACTTACGTTCGACTTTTTTTTTTATAATAGGCTATGAGATCAGTTGTCAATTACAAAGCCATTGCATATATGATCAAATATCATATTAATATTATTCATAAGGCAGTGTATATGTAGTGAATAGTGAATTGGTAAAGTATAAATAAGAGAATACCTATCAATATGTCAGAAGTACTTTACAATATTACTTTATGCAGTGTATAAATTTAAAATTAAAATTTTAATATATTCAGTAACCCCTAAAAACGAGAACATTCCAAAATTCAAATCAAAATATAATGTATACAAGAAACAACAAAATCACTATTTCATACAATACCAGTAATAAATATTGTGTTGAAATACGTGTTTATATATACGTATATATGTATTCATAAACACACACACACACACACACACACACACACACCC